GAAATTTGTGGTGAATGGTCATCGTCTCAAGCCGTATTATGAAGGATTTCCAATTGAACGGGTGGAGATGATACAACTGGAAGACCCGATTTGCTTAGTTTAAGCAAATTCTGGACTCCGTCTAACCAAAGACGTTAAAAAAAGACGCTTTTGGGAGGCAACCCAATTTTTGATTTTGTTGGTTTTTGTTGTGCGATTCGTTAAATATGTCGTTTCTCATCTGGGTATTGCTTAAATTTGATATTTTTCTCTACTATGATCAGGACAGGTGATCATGGCGTGCCCATGCGAAGAAGGCACGCATTAAAGTTCCAACTTCAAGGTTTTGGAAAAGTGACCAAATGAGGCAAAAAAGGCGAAATTTGATCAAAGATCTCAATACCTCAAATTCAGTAATTGTGGTTTTTGATGCATTAAAGAGGTTTAGAATGCATGTTTAGATCATTTTACATGTGCGTGAATGGTTTATTTTGACATAGAAATGATCTATGATGCATTTTGGGAAATTGGGGTATCATTTGTAATTATTCCAAAGTTGAATTTCTGCTAAATTTTGCAGCAGAAAACGCGTTTTTTAATGAAACGCGCCACTGAATCGCGTTTTCATAGAATCGCGTTTTCAAATCTGCGCCTATAATTAAGAAAACGCGCCTTAAAAACGCGACAGGAAGTCGCGTTTTCTACCAAGTCGCGTTTTCCAGCCTGTTCAGAAACCAAAAACGCGCCTTCAAATACGCGACTTAAAGTCGCGTTTTCTCACGTAGTCGCGTTTTCAATGCTGCAAATTTGGTGAAGAAACGCGACTTCACAAAACGCACCTTGAGGCGCGTTTTCTTGAGCCGCGTTTTCTGAGCACAATGATCCGACCTCGGATCCTTTTAAAAACGAAGGCTTGGATCACTTTTCAACTTTACTTTTCTTCATGTTGGCTTGTTTTTAGTAAGTTTTAGTTCTTCGATTAATGTTTGTGTGTTTTGTAGGTGGCAATGGCAAGAGTTCATGCAAATGATCTCAATTGCAAGGGTGTTTATATTAAGGCAAAAAGGGAGTTTTCATGTTCAATTGCTGCATTTCATGCATTTAAAGTGTTTCATGTTTAAGTTATATTCATGCATGATCATATTAAATTTGAATTTTATTCAAAGAACATGAAGTAGGTTGAATGTGGAAGGTTGGCCATAAATCCGGATTTTGTCCAGAATGCTCAAAAAAAAAAAAATTTGTATTCTTTCTTTCCTTCTTTTCTTCTTTCTTTCTTCTTTTCTTCCCCGCTGCTTGCCCTTTTTCCCCCTTTTCTTTTCTTCTTCATTCGCCGCCGCCAGAAGCTCCGCTGACCCACGGCAGCCGCGGCAACTGGCTCGCGCGCCGCTCCTCCCTGCCGCTCGTCGACGCTGCCCACGCCGGACGCCGCTGCCGCAACCGCCGCCCACCCCAGCTCTTCTCGCCGCTGCCTCGGCTCTCCTCGCCAAGGGTGACCACCAGCTCATCTCACCTCCTTCACCCTTGTCATAGCCACCGCCTCCAAGATCCGCCTGAAGCCCCGAAAGCCGCGCACCACCAGATCCAGCTGCCGCAAACTCTTCTCTCTCACAACCACCACCTTCATCGCACCACTGGCTTCGTATGCACGCGCCTGCCTCAATCTCTCTCTATTATTTTTTTTCATTTTCTTATTTTATTATTGCAGTATGTTTTTATTATTTTTATTACAGTACGTTTTTGAAAATTTTGCGTGTTTGGACTACCTGACATTTCTATTCCTCCTTAGTTGGGTACTTCTGTGTTACTTTGCTTGTTTCTTTTCACTTTGCTTGATTTTTATTTATTTAGTAGATTGACTTGTGGTTAGTCGTGTGATTTACTTATTCTGCTGTACTTTGTGTCTAACTGTGGGTAATTTGCTACAGTTGTTTGTTCAATTGGGAGGTGCCTTTAACACTTAAATTTACTTATTGAAGTAGATTGCCTTCAATTGCCTTATATGAGAGCCTTTTGTCTGTTTGCATTTCAATTACTACATTGATTGGGGTGATTTTGAGGTGCATTATTATTACATTTGGCTAAGTTTGGAACCACGAGTGTTTATTGATTGCATTTGTTATAAGTGTTGAGATATCTGTATAACTTGCGAGTGAATGCAGTGTGCATTTTGTTCATTGAATTGATTTTTCATTTGTTAGTGCTTTGAATTTCTTGTTTCCATTATTCATTAGTAACTGTTGTCTATTGTGGTTTGGAGTGCAATTTGGAAAGAATGGTGAAACCACGATCTCGACCTTTTGACCTCCGCTTCGCCTCCTCCAACTACAGGTGCTAATAGCTGGCACCAGCTTCAGGGGAGTTTCGTTGTCCTTCTTCTTATTTTTACTGTTTCATTATCACATTGAGGGCAATGTGTGATTTAAGTGTGGGGGGGATTTGGGTTTAGTTTTGATTGGTGTTTCTTTAATTTGCTGCCTTTCTTACTAGTGTTTTGATGAATAAATGTGGCATCTCACTCGTCTATTGCTGGTTATGATTTATTCTATGAATTTAGTTTAAGTGGCAAGTAAAAGCATGTTATCTTGGTGAATATCATGAGTTTAATGACTTGGTGCAAATTGTGGTTAAATTGTTTAGGCAATATAAATATTTTACTAGCAATTGTTGTGTAGATTAGGCAATTGTTGATCTTAGTTCTCCATATTAGGAGATGACGTGGGCCATGATCTTTAATTATCTGGTTTTCTGGTGCTTTAATTGTGATTAATAAATGACCCTACTCCGCTAGTGTCGTCACCCAGTAACCGGGAGTCTTCACCACAAGTGTCGACTTTCGCGTCAAAAAGTGACTATATATATGAGTAGTTAGTCCTGAAGCTGTGAAGAGTTGAGTAACTGGGCTCTTTCATCTAAAAATGTCAGAGTTCACGTCAAAAGACTTGAATAGCTTGGGATTGAGCATTTATTGAAAAAAAAAATTATTATAAAAAAAAATAATAATAATAATAAAAAAGAGAAAAGAAAATAATAAGTAAGCTTATGATCATGTTGGCCTGCCGATCCTTGTTCTTCAATGTTGAGATTTTGATTTTCAGTTGACCCAATTGCTAACTTTTGCTAGTTTAATATTTTGATTTCTTAGACGACTTAGTCATGAATTGGACGAGTCTATGATTTCAGGAGCTAACCGGAAGAAATATGTCTTGACACTTAACCACTAAAACTTGATTTTGGGATAAGCGTAGCTTGGCAGTAAATGAAATGAGAGTTAGCCATTGTTGAGTTTAGTGTTCCCATGCTTGAGGACAAGCATGATTTAAGTGTGGGGGGAATTGATAGGGTGTTAATTGTTAGTAATTTTATTGTTAATTCTCCTCTTTATCCTTGCCAAATATTGCTTTAATTGTCAATATATATTTATATTTGGTATTTGGATATAATTTCAGAAAGTGGAGCAGAAAAGTGCTAAAAGGGGACCTTCTTGAGAAGATTTCTCCACACGTGAGAAGCTTTCCACAATCAGCCCAAATTGTGCAAACCAACGGAATTGCTGATGAAGAGTTGCCTTCCTATTATTAAGTCCTGGCAAGTCCACTAACAATAAGAAATCAAAAGGAGACAATTCTGCGGGGACCACGTAACATTGATTTAGAAAATGTGTTCTTCTTTTGGGAGATGTACTCATTAGCCATAGGTGGACTTTGATGATGAAAGTAGCTTTTCTATTTGCTTCCTACGTAACTAGTTCTCTTATGAAACTAGTGCGGAGGAGAATTAGAGGGAGAAGCTTCATAAGACATTAGACTAGTTTTAGTTTTCTCTCCAGGAAGCTCCGTAGGAGGATAGAGGTAGTTTTTGGTTTTCAGAGGAGGAGTTCTTCCTTCCTTGTTGTGTGGTGTGCAACTTTTCTTAAAAGAGTCTAGCGAGACTCAAGTTTCTTCCTAAATTCTTAATTAGTTATTTATGTATTTGATTCCATTTAAATTGCGTGAGAATTTTATCATGAGGCGTGGCTAATCTTCTCCTCTAGTCAAGGATCAACGCGAAGACGCAGTCCCAAATATCTGTGAGATCTAATTAATTTTACGTGTTCCTTAATTTATTAATATTTGCATGTTTTCTATTTTAATTTCCATGGGATTATTTTGTTAATTGGATATCAAGGGCCCGATGTGCAATTTGACTTATTAATCTCTTGTCAAATTAATCAATTAAATCCGTAATTGTTTAGTTGATTAATATTAGTGACAACTAGTATTTTCACATACTACGGGGACATGCAATCTGATTTAAATAACCCTCGTAGCGTGTTATTAATTTGGGTTAGGCTTTTCTAGTTTTTAATGCAATTAGGAAATTAATTCCTACGGTCGTACCAAGGAGTATTTCCTGGTTAGGGGTAATCAACGGTCGTACCTTGGTTATCAATAAATTAAGGAAAAGCTGGTCGTTAGAGTTTATCGGCGACTATAACTAACCTGTTAATAAAATTAAGTGAACCTTCTTTGCATCAATGATCGGATGAATGGACTGTGTCTGCGTAGTTGTATCCTTGGCTAGAATTTATTTATCATTTATTTAATTGCTATTTACAATTGTATTAATTAATTATTTATTTTTGGTTAAATTATTTAATTATTTTTAGTTAAATTGTTTAATTATTTTTAGTTTATTTCTGATAAAAATCCCCCGTGTCCCGAACTTGAAAGGAATCAAATTTTTCCCAGTCCCTGTGGATTCGACCCTACTCACTACTATACACAGAAAATTTATTTTTTTCGAGTAGGTATTTATTATTGCACAGGCTCGACACCTGTCAACTAACTATTGAGTTTAGTTAGTCATGGGCCAAACAATTTCGACCAGTACTTTAAATCCAGAAGTTATTAAGCCAATGCTCCGTCCTGTCGTCACATGCCTTCACTGTCTCCTTTTGGATGTTTGCTAGCTATTGAATCAATGTCTATCAACAACATGCATCTTTTGTTGGTTCCACTGACCGCGGCGTTTTTCTGAAGTAAACATGCAGCTCGGTAGAAGTGCAGATGTCTCCATCACCATTCAAGAAAAGCTGAAATGTGTCATTGCCTCAGAGTTAGGATGCAACATCTTTAGAATACATAGCCAGTTGCGGAAGGTAAATGAGAAAGCTTATGAACCCGAAATCATAGCGATTGGACCATATCATTGCGGAAAACCTGATCTCTCAGGTATGGTGGAGCACAAGTTGGTTTATCTAAAATCATTGCTTGGTCAAAAGATTGAGAAGGTGGCAACATGTGTTGCTGCAGTGAAGCCGCTGGAGGAAAAAGCGCGAAAGTGCTATGCAGAGCCTATAGCCCTTTCATCAGATGAGTTTGTAGAAATGATGGTGTTAGATGGCTGCTTTATCATACAATTGCTGCTTAAGTTCAAGGAAAAGGATTTGATAGATAAAACTGATCCTGTTTTCAGATTGGAGTGGATTCTGAACAGTTTACAGCGCGATTTAATGTTGTTTGAGAATCAGCTTCCCTTCTTCATTCTTTGCAAATTGTATGAAACAATTGAGCTTCCAGACCATGAAAGTGGATTGATCGATCTTGCCTTGAACTTTTTTAGTGATCTTTTACCAGGTCACGGGACAACACCATGGTTCAAAGTCACGGTCGCGGTCGCGGTCGCGGCCCGGAACGTTCCACATCGGTCTCGGTATATCGGTCGCGGTCTCGGTGAGACGCAAATTTTAAAGTATTTAATATTCTAAAAATTGTTAATAATATAAAAAAGTATGCTAAATAAAAATAATTAAAAAAATAGTAAAAGAAACGGCCAAGTCAATCCGTCGCGGTGTGAGTCGGCTGATTTCTCGTCTTGACTCGGGATAACTCGGAGTGACTCGGTGTGACTCGGCCGAGTCAATCCGTCGCGGTGACGACTCGGCCGATTTCTCGGCGAGTCAAGTATTTCGGTATCGTTTCGTCACGGTATCGTATCGGTAGGGGTCGAGACGGTGACGACTCGGCCGAGACTTCGAACTATGGACAACACGCGAAAATGGAAATCCGCAGGACAACATCAAACACTTGCTTGACTTGATACACAGAAATTGGTCTACATCAAAACTCAAGCCCGTAAAAGAAATGACAAGGGGCATTGATCCGCTGATCCGCTGTTCCATGGAACTTTCAGAGGCTGGAATCAAGTTAGAGAAAATTGCTCAAGAGGACATATTTGACATAGAATTTGAAAATGGAACTCTGCGAATCCCCACATTAGCCATCGAAGAGAGAACAGAATCGTTCCTCCGGAACCTGGTTGCCTATGAGCAATATTGTGGGGATGATCAAATCAACATTGTGACAGACTACGTGACGTTCTTGGGTTGCCTCATCAAGTCTGAAAAGGATGTAACAAAACTCTCCCACCATGGAATCATTCATAACTTTGTTGGTGAGAGTGAAGTCATCTCTGAAATGTTTAACAAAATGATTGTCTGCATAGTTGGGCCAAGTAGAAATTTCCATTACGCTGAGATATTCAGTAGAGTGAACACCCATTGTGACAGACGCATGAATCGATGGAGGGCTACGTTAAGGAGAAATTATTGCAACAGTCCTTGGGGAATAATTTCGATTATTGCTGCCTCTTTTCTGCTGCTACTTACTTTGTTACAGACTATATTTTCGATTTTATCTTGTAAGAGCCATTAGTTTGACAAAGACCATATGTTAGCTTGTCGAAGACTATGTATCAAGACATTTGAGTTTCTGTCCTGTTGCAACTTGCGAGCTTTGGATCAAGGACCATTGATTTTCAATGTTGTATATTGTATGGAACTTTGTTTTTGTTTTCCACTAAAACCTTTCTGCTTTACCTTGTCAACTTTCATCATGCCATGTTTATTCAAGAGTCAAATTCAAATCACTAATCATTGTTAGGACCGGGCCAGGAATAGACAAACTCAAGTTAGCACAAAGTAGGCGGTATAACCGACCATATAATAGATAGGCGGTAGATACCAGCCATATAATAATTAGGCGGTAAAACCGACCATATAAAAACGGATAACAAAGCAAATAAAAGACACAGAAGATTTACGTGGTTCGGTCAAATTGACCTGCGTCCACGGGCGAGGGAGGAGCAATATTTCTACTATGAAGAAGAAATACAAAAGACCGTAGGAAAGTGGTTCCTAGGCCAATAAGGCACTTACAAAAGAGTTTAGAAAATATTCCTAAACTCAAAATAAGAGAGCCTAAAATATTTGACTAAATGGGCTAAATGACTCAAGAAGCTAATAGCCCATATAACTCTCTTAAGTGGTGCAAGTTAAATCCTTCAATGGACCCTTCTATTTATAGGCCTCGAGTAGCCGGCTTCTCTTCAGCAGGCTCCGATGTGGGATGAGAAGGAAATGAAAAATTATGCCACAAGTCAAAGCTTGCGGCTCTGACAAAACAACAAATCTCCACCTTGGCATAATTTTGGATTCCACCCAAAAACTGCTCCACCTTCTTCACATAAGCCCTAATGGGCTTAAATCACCAATAATGAACACCAACCAAATCCAAGCACTGCTTGAACTTGTAAACTGGAAGAGGTTTCGTAAACATATCGGCTGGATTGTCCTTAGTATTGATTTTCTGAATAAGGACTTTTCCCTCAGCAATGATATCCCGAATGAAGTGATACTTCACATCAATGTGTTTCGTCCTCTCATGATACATCTGATCTTTAGTCAAGTGTATGGCACTTTGACTATCACAATGAATATCAATAACACCTTGATATAGACTTAGCTCGCTAAATAAACTCTTCAACCACAAGGCTTCTTTGATTGCCTCGGTCACAGCCATATATTCTGCTTCAGTAGTAGACAAAGCTACGACAGGTTGTAGAGTAGCTTTCCAACTAACAGCACAACCGCCAATGCAAAATACATAGCCTGAAAGTGATCTTCTCCTGTCAAGATCCCCAGCGTAGTCTGAGTCTACAAAACCAACCAAAGTGTTATTATTTCTTCCAAACTCCAAACATGCATTTGAAGTACCTCGCAAGTATCTGAGAATCCACTTCACAGCTTGCCAATGTGGTTTACCAGGGCAAGACATATATCTGCTAACAACACTGACTGCTTGTGCAATATCTGGACGAGTACAAACCATTGCATACATAACACTGCCGACTGCACTGGAATAAGGAACCCGTGCCATATAATCTTCCTCTTCATCTGATTTTGGTGATTGAGCAGCAGATAGCCGAAAATGGCTAGCAAGAGGAGTAGATACTGGTTTAGCATCTTTCATGCCAAAACGCTCCAAAACTTTCTCAAGGTAATTTTTCTGGGTCAAGAATAACTTCCCTACTCCTCGATCTCTCTTGATATCCATGCCAAGAATTTTCTTAGCTGCTCCCAAATCTTTCATTTCAAATTCACTATTTAACTGCAGTTTCAAAGTGTGAATTTCTGACAAATTCTTGGCAGCAATGAGCATGTCATCAACATAAAGCAGCAAATAAATGAAAGAACCATCATTTAACTTCCGGAAGTAAACACAACTATCATACATGCTCCTCAAATAACCATGACCCAACATAAAGGAATCAAACCTTTTATACCATTGTTTTGGAGACTGCTTCAATCCATATAAGGATTTCTTCAATAAGCAAACATGGTCTTCCTTACCTTCAATCTCAAAACCCTGGGGTTGTTTCATATAAATTTGTTCTTCAAGTTCGCCTTGTAAGAAAGCTGTCTTAACATCAAGCTGCTCTAACTCCAAATTATACATGGCTACTAAAGCAAGCAAAACACGAATAGAGCTATGTTTAACAACAGGTGAGAATATATCATTAAAATCAACACCTTGTACCTGACTATAGCCCTTTGCAACCAATCGTGCTTTATATCTTGCATCTTCAACCCCTGGAATACCTTCCTTCTTCTTGAAGACCCATTTGCATCCAACAATTTTCTTAGCTGACGGCGGCTTTATAAGAACCCAAGTTTCATTACGATGAAGAGATTCAATTTCTTCATTCATCGCAATCAACCACTTTGCAGAATCATCACAAGAAACTGCTTCTGAATAGGTGGAAGGCTCACCAACTGCATCAGTTTCTTCTGCAATAGACAAAGCATATGCAACTAAATTTGCATATCTTTGTGGTGGTCGAATGTCTCTCCTTTGTCTATCTCTGGCTATGGAATATTCCTCTTCTTCTGAACTATCTTCCACAGTAGACTCAGGTGCATCTACTGGCATTTGTTGAATAGAAGATTTGGTCTGAGAAGGACCAGAACTGCCAATATCAAGCTCCACCTGCTTCTGTGTACTATCAGTAGTACAAGGACTGGAAGACTCCTTCTTGGAAGATAACATAGACAATTCATCAAAAGTAACATCTCTACTGATCACAAATTTTGGAGATTTGGGATCAGGACACCATAATCTGTATCCTTTCACCCCAGAAGCATACCCAAGAAAAATGCACTTTTTAGCCCTAGGCTCCAATTTTCCATCATTCACGTGCATGTATGCTGGACACCCAAAAACTTTTAAATTGGAGTAATCAGCAGGAGTACCTGACCAAACTTCCTCAGGAGTTTTGAAATCAAGAGATGCAGAAGGAGAACGGTTGACAATATAACAGGCCATATTGATCGCCTCTGCCCAAAAGTCGTTTGTCAACCCTGCATTGGAGATCATACATCTTGCTCTCTCCAAAAGCGTTCTGTTCATACGTTCAGCCACACCATTTTGTTGAGGCGTCATCCTGACGGTGTGATGCCGAACAATTCCTTCATTCTTGCAGAATTCATTAAATTCACCTCCACAAAATTCCATGCCATTATCTGTTCTCAACCGCTTAATGTGTTTTCCTGTTTGCTTCTCAATCAAAACTTTCCATTGCTTGAAAGTTAGGAAAACATCATTTTTATGCTTAAGAAAATATACCCAAACTTTCCTTGAATAATCATCAATGAAAGTCAACATGTACCTGGCACCACCTTTAGAAGGAGCACGAGAAGGCCCCCAGAGGTCTGAATGAATGTAGTCCAAAGTTCCTTTTGTCCTGTGAACTGCCGGCAACTGGAAGCTAACTCTCTTCTGCTTTCCAAAAATGCAATGTTCACAGAGACCCATCTTTCCAATACTTTGACTACCAAGAAGACCTCGTTTGCATAAAATAGATAAGCCCTTCTCGCTCATGTGCCCCAATCTCATGTGCCATAATTTGGTAAAATCAGAATCAGACAAAGTTGATGTAGAAACAGCAGCAGCACCTGTAACAGTAGATCCCTGCAAAATATATAAAGTACCAGATTTGTGTGCCTTCATAACAACAAGGGCTCCTCGACTGATTTTGAGAACTCCATCTCCACCTGAATACCTGCACCCAATAGACTCAAGAGTGCCTAAAGAGATGAGATTTTTCTTCAAATCTGGAACATGTCTAACATCTGTGAGCGTCCTCACAATACCATCGTACATTTTAATCCGGATTGTGCCTTTGCCAACAACTTTACAAACAGCGTTGTTGCCCATTAAGACAACTCCACCTTCAGTTGATTCATATGTTGAAAACCAGTCCCTATTGGGACACATATGATATGAACAACCCGAATCTAAAATCCACTCATTGTTAGACCTAAAAATATTTTCCGTTGCACAGAAAATGGTTCCATCATTCTCATCAGCTGCTATACTAGCTTCAGCAGATTCAGTATTTTTCTCAACAAATTTCCCTTTTTGCTTTTCTTTATTTTTCAATTTAAAGCAATCAGAGATAACATGGCCCTTCTTTTTACAATAATTGCACACTACATTTTTATGTCTGGACTTGGATCTACTTCTATTTTCTGTGTTTCTCTTTTCAGATCTACCCCGAACAAACAAGCCATCGGCTTGACTCCCACTAGTTTCCCCAGTAATGTCCCTATCTATCTGCTCTTTAGATTTTAATGCAGATTTAATTTCCCGATACGAAATTGTTTCCTTTCCATAAATCATAGTATCGCGGAAATGCTTAAAAGACTGGGGAAGGGAACACAAAAGTAATAGGGCTTGATCTTCATCATCAATTTTCGAATCTATATTCCCCAAATCCATAATAATGGAATCAAATTTATCAAGATGGGAGAGTATAGATATACCTTCAGACATCCGAAGCATGTACAAACTCTGCTTCAAATATAGCCGATTCTCGACTGTCTTCTTCATATACAAGGCTTTCAATTTATCCCACATAGCCTTGGCCGAAGTCTCCGTTGCTACCTCACGCAATACCTCATCGGAGAGATTTAAGATTATGCTGGATCTGGCCTTCTTATCCATATCGGCGAAATCCGCATCCTTTACATCTTCTGGTTTGTTCTCGATTCCGTGAATCGCTAGATCAACTCCGTCTTGAACAAGAATGGCCTCCATCTTGAGCTGCCACATTCCGAAGTTGACATTCCTGTCGAATTTCTCGACAACCGTCTTTGTTATCGTCATTGTTGCCACAAAATCTGTAACGTGAAATTTGTCTCAAAAAACTGGCCAAACAAATATGCAAGTCTCGTGAGCGGGCCCCACAGGGTGAGCGGACCCCACGAGATAAGCGGGCCCCACGGGATGAACGGACCCCACAAGGTGAGCGGACCCCACGGATGAACGGACCCCACAGGATGAGTGGGCCCCACAGGATGGACGGACCCCACCAGATGAACGGGCCCCACCAGATGAACCTGTCTTGCAAAATATAACAACCAGCTCTGATACCAGTTTGTTAGGACCGGGCCAGAAATAGACAAACTCAAGTTAGCACAAAGTAGGCGGTATAACCGACCATATAATAGATAGGCGGTAGATACCAGCCATATAATAATTAGGCGGTAAAACCGACCATATAAAAACGGATAACAAAGCAAATAAAAGACACAGAAGATTTACGTGGTTCGGTCAAATTGACCTGCGTCCACGGGCGAGGGAGGAGCAATATTTCTACTATGAAGAAGAAATACAAAAGACCGTAGGAAAGTGGTTCCTAGGCCAATAAGGCACTTACAAAAGAGTTTAGAAAATATTCCTAAACTCAAAATAAGAGAGCCTAAAATATTTGACTAAATGGGCTAAATGACTCAAGAAGCTAATAGCCCATATAACTCTCTTAAGTGGTGCAAGTTAAATCCTTCAATGGACCCTTCTATTTATAGGCCTCGAGTAGCCGGCTTCTCTTCAGCAGGCTCCGATGTGGGATGAGAAGGAAATGAAAAATTATGCCACAAGTCAAAGCTTGCGGCTCTGACAAAACAACAATCATAAATCAAAATTTCAAAAGCATCTTGAATTTTTTATGCAAAGTGTTCGATTTCTGGGCTTTTAGTCAGGTTCTTTTTTCACTTTCAATGCGATTACCAAATTAAGGGTCAATCGTATGCTAGAGTCTGACATTTTTCCAACTTTCTGTGGCAAATGGTTAACTTGAGCAAAAATCCTTTACTACATGAAAGACTATACTTGAGGCGTAGCTATCTCAGAAAATTGGTTTGTAATTTCCTTTCAAGCATTGGATCAAGGTCCTATGATTCTGCAAGGTGTACGTGTTTTCAGGAGGTATTGTTTTGGTATTAGAATTTCCCCAAAATGCAATTATAAATTTACTTCAAATACTTTCCACTCTAAACCCAATTTTCTACTATCCTTTTATCATCTCGTAAAAAACTATGCTGCTATAATTTATTCCTTACTGGTATATATCAGTCCAGTTTTTTTTTCAAAGTATCAGAAGCAAATGTATTGAAGCACGATGTATCTTCTTTATGTTATGCAATTTCCTCACACTTACGTCCACTTGCACCCTCGCACAGCATAAGTTCCTCTGTCTGTGCATTTGTGTCACTTTACCAATAACTTGGCCTCTAAATGCATGAAAAATGTATCTTAATGGGTATATGAATTGTACCTTAAACCTTCATTTTCTCACGGAAATACCCCTTCATTCCAAATCATGGTTTGTACATGTCTGAAGACATGAACTTGAACACAACAGTCAAATTGTGTCAATATAACGATTGATTGGTATTCGTTTTTGTTGAACTTGTTTCACGGTGGCCGGATATACCACAGAAAGGATTAGGTAGCAATTTGATTAAACCTCCTTGAATGGATACCTGAATAGTTTGCAGATCGACTGGATGTTGTTTGAAAATCACCTTCCCGTCTTCAATGGATGGCTGAGTCAAAGCTAAACTATTTGAATGGTCTCTGGGGTATAATTTCGATTCTTGCTGCCTCTCTTCTGCTGCTACTTTTGTTACAGACAATATTTTCGATTTTATCTTGGAAGAGCCATTAGTTTGACAAAGACCATCAGTTTAGTTTGTCGAAGATTTTTTTTTTTTTTTTTAACAAAAAAAATTGCTTTGATTGTCTTATTTAAATACCCCAAAACCAAACACGCTACACAAAAGATTAGGTAGCAATTTGAATAAATCTATTTGATGTTGTTGGAAATTCACCTTTCTCCTTAATTCTCTGCCAATTGTATGACGCTACTGGGCTTCGATATAAAGATAGTGGATCCATTGATCTTTCCACGGGACCTTTCAAGTGATCTTCCGCCAGGTGCAGGGACAGGATGTGAAAATGAAAGTTAATTCACATGATAACCTCACACATTTGCCTGACTTAATTCACAGAAATTGGTCGAGTTTGAAGCTCAAGCCCAATAAAGATGTAACAAGGAGCACAGGAGGAGATTTGCCTTTGATATCCACTGTTCAACAGAACTTGCGAGGCTGGAAAACTTAGGTCCCATTTGAATTGCTATTTTCTAGAGTTTTTATAAAATATAAATGTATTATAACGATTTGATGTATATGAGATAAAAAAATAATTAAAAAATATGTTCACAGAAAATGTAATTTTTTTCTTTTAGTAGAAAACTATATAATCCAAGACAAGCGCAATTTATTTTATATAACTGAAATTGTATCTCAAATGCGGATCAGATCACATCAGGTAGATCCTATCTGAAGTATTAATTTCAATTTATTTGATTTTGAAATTAATGGCTGAAATCAAACTTTTAAGTTAATGTAAGCTGGCAAGAGCCATTAGTTTTACAAGATGAAGTCATATTTGAGCCAAGTCTTGGGTGACCTTTATTTATCAAACAAAAAAGAACTAAATGTCTTGTGGCTTTAAAACGAAATAACTATCTGAACGTAAAAAGGAAATAACTACATATATAGGTAAATCATTGCACTGTATTAACACCGAAAAACAGAGAAATGTAGCATTTTCAAACAAGTTAAAGATTTCATAAAAACAAATAAAGCTCCAATGAATTTGATCAAAAACCCACAAAATCTTGAGTGAGAAAAAGAGTCTTGGAACTGAAAACCAACAATTCCTCCAAATTGCAACGGGCAATGGTATTCTTTCTTATTCCTCCGCGTAGCAAAAGCAAAACCAACTGGAAATAAAAATGGTAAGCTTAGTCTGTATCTTCTCCGTCATAACCCAATCATATTTTGCACTAATACTTTCTTAAAACTTCCTTTTTGTGTGTATCTATCCAAATACCCAATCTTGATGTTTCATTAAGTTTGTTTTTCTGGTTGATCTCTCAGTTTAGAGAAAAATGTAGTTTTAATATCCAAACTTTGATATATGAGCAGTTTTAGTTCCCAAACTTTGGACAAAAAACAAATATGGTACCCAATTTTTCAACTTTTGAGCACATTTAACAATTTTTTCCAAAATTGTAACCGAAAAAAGTTATGTGATAGTCACATATCCGACAACTATTGTATAAAACATGTCAAAAAAATGTAAAGTATTCTTCTAACACTAAGTACTTAGTTTAAGGACTAAATTTAACTTTTTTTTTTGTTAGTATCTTTTTATATAATAGTTGGCGAAAATGTGACTCTTTCCTATTGCAATTTGAAAAAAATCCATCAAAGGTTATAAATGCTTGTGCTCAAAAGTTCAAAGATTGGGTACCAGATTTGCTTTTGTCTAAAGTTTAGGAAATAAAATTGCTCGTGTGTCAAAATTTGGATACCAAAATTGCATTTTTCTCTTCAATTTATGCATCATTTATTGTTATATTCTAGATTGTCCTATCAATTTCTATTGGAAGACGAACAGTTTGACACAAAATGGTTATGAAGGAAAAGATAGTACTACTGTAGAAGAAGAGATCAGTTAGGTTCTGCTAGTCTTTACCACTTAACGGACGCACTCTGGGAGTGGGACTTGCCTTTGACCTCTTTTTCCTCCGTCTTTCCAGCATTATTCTCACGGGAAACTTTTTCGTAAAGCATTTTTGTTAACGTGCTGGTAATGTCATCCGTCGATCCTTCAGTATCAAAATTTTGACTGCTCTCATCTGTAGCAAAGATGAACAAGTCATGTAAGAATTCATCAACATCAGTTGTGTTGCATTTTTCATCTGCTTTAACATGAAAGGTAAGATGACTGAGTAAAAGATTATGTGAATAAACTTCTGAACATCCGTTGGTTGGTTTAATATATGCACATGAAATGATCAGGGAAGAAAGTTACCTTGCTCGTCAACTATTTGGAATTTAAACTGTGCTCCCTCAAGGTTTAAGTTTTTACTGGTCGGCCTAAAAAACTAATAAAATAACAAGGGTTTTACTGCTTGATGTAATACTAGTTGGTTAATTTTTTTTCGAAATTAGTCCAAGACTAACTTGCAAATTTTACCTTACTTTTGTCTTTTTTCACTGTTCTCTAGTACTTCACATGGAAAACAAAATATTACTTCTACTTCATATTTATGCACTTTCTCTTGCAGTTTAAAACATGCATACGTCCAACCACTTTTCTTTTATCACATGCATACGTTCAGCACAGAAATTGCCAGAATATTTTTTGTTTTACAAATACCTTAAAAAATAACCATCCAAATGCAGTCGATGTTATGAAGATATACATTTATGTACGTAGGACACAAGTGTTGATAAATATCTTGTTGAATTCTTGATTTATATATTGAGTCTCTTTACTGGATTTTCTCAGAATTTTCCTCCCTAACATTTCTCCCCAAGAGAAGAAGGGCTTTTTGCTGTAGATATTACATAACTAAAAATTTGTTTCACTGGTAATTAACATCAAAGCGTCCACGATTTGGTTTTTTAACTCTATAACTCTCAAAGGAACACATTCTTAAGATGAAGAATTATGTTGGCTGCTGGCTCATGATTGGTCTGCTAACTCCTTCGTGCATCAGTTCAAAAGTCTTGTATCTTCTGTTATGGTTTATCATATTTGGTATTTTGCAGAAAATTGCTGATGAGGTTCAGCGTACGGTAATAGCTTAGGGCAAGATTCCAAAAACTCATGAAACTTGGAAGTTGGCTTTAGAATGGGGTTTGTCTGCTCTGCTGGTACATGTTTTAGTTAGCTTTTGAGACTTTGTAAATGGTATAGGCTACTTTTATGCATTTAAGATTTTTTTAAAAAAATTCTTTTTCAGTAGGGAAGAGTGGACTTAAGAAGAGGGGAGGACTTTTAATTCCTGAAATCTCAACTTTAACCACTAAATCAAGTTTTCGTTGAATACATATTTAAGATTGTTTCTCTTGTAAATCTTCACTGTTCATCTTAAAAATAAGTTTTACAGTTTGCTTGGAGGGAGAGAGAGATATATATATATTTATATATATTAAACTGAAAGAAATGATTTATACACTCCACTTATATAAACCTCCTGTTTTGCTTTTTCCTTATGTGGAAAAACAAAACTTTCGTGCGCTTTTTTATTATGAGAGTTTTTTTTTTAGTCCTTTCATTTAATAGAAAAACAGAAAGTGGAATATATAGATCAATATTCTTAATTAATGTAGATAATTAAGTAAAGCTTGTAATCTTCTCAATTAGGAAAAAGTTGAATATATGTGAATCTTATATCTTTTCCTTTTTCTAATTCCCTTCTTAAAAATGCAGTTCTTATTACATTAATTTCTAATCGTTGGTGTATCTTATCAATTTATTCCATAAATCTTTCGTCTAAAAATTAAACTAAATTAAACTTGAAATTAGTACATACCGGTGACTCTTCCTGAATGTCTCCGTCTCATATTTGGGTTATTGGGCACAACTTCTTCACTTGCTGGTACTCCAGTTTCAACCTTAAAAAAAAAAAAAAAAAACAAGAAGTTAATTCACACTGTGTTTCTAATATTTGGAGAAATTTAGGAAAGAAATGAATTAATTATATGCATAACAGGTTTCATCTGAAAAGGTTGTGAAAATTAGAGGTCCAGTTTTCATCTCACATTTGGGTTATCTGGGGCACCCTCTTCAACTATTGATTTTTCAACGACAACCTGCAAAATAAGGAATAACTGTTGATTTCATTCATCATATTTTCATCTTATTTGGAGAAGTAAGAGGAAAAAATCCATCAATCTTAAGCATTTAAAAAAAAAAAAAAGAGTTCTCCTTGATGATATTGGTGGTCTAGGTCTCACATTTGAGCTATCAAGCGTAGCATTTTCAGTTGCTAGTGTTTGGGTTCCAACCTGCCAAAAAAGGGGAAAAAAAACGAATACATCAACAAATATTGAGTTGAATCATAATATTTTTCTGTTATTTGGAAAAATTAGAAAGTGGTTGAGTGAATTTAAAATCAATATTATTGTTCACAAAGACGATGATTGTCTAAGCCTCACATTTGAGTTATTGGCCGCAACATCTTCAGTTTTCGGTGTAGCTTCAGTCTTAACCTTTCAAACAAAGAAAATCAAACATTGAATTGAATCACCATATGTTTTTAATTACATATCAATGTTTCCTAGTAATATATGCATCAGGGATGTAGATGGATGATATATGTGCAAAAATTTAAAATTCAAGTATCTAGAATCAATTGGCCCACTCCTTAGAGTCGATTCCCTTAGAGTAGATTCCTCCCCTAGGAGTAAGAGTAGATTAGGTTAGGTTAGATGTGCCATTACGACAAAAAAAAAGAAAAAAGTATCTAGACTTCTTAGTTTATACACTGTTTATCTAGACTTCTTAGCATTGGGATACTCTTGACATTTCAGTTTGCTCTGTTGCTAATGACAATTTCATGACTTTGACATTTTAATGCAAAACATGAAAAAGTGATATATAACTTGAGAGAAACCATAAAAGGGTTATTTGATAAAGTGTTAATTTGTAATTTACTCGTAAATATGAGACCAATATTTTTCTCGAAGGGGTCTAATTCTCACATTTGTGTTCTGGGCAGCAACATCTTCAATTGTTGGTGCTGTAATTCCAACCTTCAAAAATAAAAAAGAAAATTGAAAACTGAATGGAATCATCATATTTTTGGTTTTTTTTGGGGGAAAATTAGAAGAAAAAAAATTCTTGGGTTAATTATAAGGAAAAAAAAATACTCGTCCACCAGATCCCACATTTGAGCTATCAGGCGTAGCATTCTCAGCTGCTGGTGTTGTAGTTACAACCTTCAAATTCTTTTGTCCAGTTCTCACATTTGAGTTATTGACCTCAGCATCTTCTGTTGTTGGTGCTTCAGATGTAACCTTTTGAGATAAAGCAAGAAAAGAAACAAAAAGAAGATCAATAATTAGTTGAATTAATCCCACGTTTCTGCTTTTCTTGGAAAGTACGAGACAAAAGTCAATAATTTCATGCACGAATTTTTTCCATGCAATCCTATATAATTTATACAAGTGTAGTCCTAAAGACACGTCCTGTCTATATATGTACAACTTCAAGAAACATTAATCAGTAAGTTGCATATGTAAGAGAAAGAGTTTGAAAGAGTTTAATTGTTAGCTGCCCTCACAGAAAAAATTTCAAATAAAGTCACTAAACTTCTAAGTTTGCAGTCATTTCGTTTATTTTAGCAGCCAAGTTTCTATACCTCTATTAAGCTTTGGGGCATTTATCTCCATGCATAATATTTTCCCTTAGGTATATTCCCTTGTGGTATTTTTCGTTTTTTCATTTTTTTTTATTTTCATATTTTCTTTAGAGCAGTGGTTTGAATGGTAAATAAACTACCTCAAATTCATTTTTAGACTACTAAATTTTTTCTTTCGCCAAAATAGTGATTGAAGTAACCTAAAAAATGAATTTTTTTGACCAAAAAATATATACGTTTTTATTAGTTGAGAGCAAAAATAAATTAAGAAGCGAAGATGGAGAATGGGAAATTAGAATTTAAAATCTCTAAAATCTAGAGTTTTAATTTTAATCACTAGACCAAAGCTTCCTCGGAAGGTCAACAACAGTTATTTCATCATTTACCAGTAGATTTCACTTTGTGGATATAATATCCAAAAAAGACTATAGAATCTCTTCTTATTTTGAGGTCAATTATGCAGAAGGTCACTAAAATATTGCCATTGTAACATTTGGCTCTTGTAATATTAGATTGACCTTGAGAATATAACAAGAGGGTATTACTAGAAAACTATGAATTAATTGATCTACTGCTTAATTGCTTAACAAATTGAATCAAGCCCGTCCGTTATCCTGTTTTCAAAATTACTGATATATTCTGTAAACTCAAACTCAAACTAATTTGTTTTAAGTATCAAATGAACACAGGTTGATATTCGAATTCATTTTTTCTGCACTTTCTATTTCGAAAGTAGAGAATAAGAGATCCCCAATCTGCAGAGAGAAAAGATGGGTTTCATAAATCATTTGTATTTGATGTTAATTCATAGAGCCAATTCAAACATATATCGTTTTCTATAAAGCTTTACGACTGATACATTTTTCATTTTTTTTGGCAGGCAGGCAGGCAAGCACCCCACAGTAATAAAGACATCTTGATCCAAAATGGATGTAGGGCCAATTTAATTATATATCATTTTCTGTATCTGTATAGAGGACATTTTTTTGTTTTGGTCAAAAATAAAAGATAGAGGACAATTGACAACAACTCAAAGAAAAGATGCATGAAGTTGATTGAGGGCTAGATGTATATTTTTGCATGCATGAATGTATGCTACAATTATGATGACACGAATGATGATATACTATACAAAATACTACTATGCGCTTAAAAGAACAGTAAAATACTTCGTCTGTTCCAAAATTTTTATCATATTTTTTATTTTGGAATGTGCTAAAATATTTGTCATGATTAGAAGAAAGTCAGAACTCTTTTTGATCTTTTTTTTTTCAATATTGTCCTTGCTCTTGATCAAATGCATGTTACATTTAAATTTAAAATTTGAATTTTAAGGAGTAAAATTGAAAAAAAAAAAAAATCCAGACATCACAATTAAAACACTATTAATAAAAAGCCGTATTTCCAAAATGTGACCAAACTTTTGGCACTGAGGGAATACTACCCATGTTATCGATGAAAATTACTGAAGGTATTGCCCAAAAAAATTACTGAAGGTATTATCATGTGTAAGAATAGTAAAACGGCACCTACAATTTATGAAGTTAAATCAAGATCATACAAATAATGGATTCGCTCACAGCCACAATGTTAGTTTGAATTTTCGGGGCTATAACACTTTGATTTAAAACTGCTACGTATAATAATTCCAGCATGTAGTTCCAGAAAAGCCGACAGAAGCACAGGATACCCACGAAGTGGGAAAAAAATGGAAACAAGAAAAATGAACCATACAATCATAACACCATAAATCCCAGAAGTTTAATCAGTATATATCACATATTCTTTGTAACAATGAACACACATAAAGGATCAACTTACGGCCGAAGTTCTGGTTTCAGCCTTGGAAGATGTAGAATTCGCAGGCAAAACTCTTGGAGCTGATCCATCTTCAGGGTTAGGAACCTGGAAAAAAAACTACAGAAGTCATTTCTAAGCATATGTCTGTGAAAACGGAGAAGATATAAAACTACAATAGTACTTTGCATCCAGTTCTTAAAAGCTAAAAGCATGTCTGTTAAACATGTTTCTTGATCAACTATCGAAGGCATCAAATCGAGCAAAATGTACAAGTTCTTGAACCTGATGTGTTGTTCCACTGGGATTTCTCCGAAACAATAGAGGATGTCCTCCGGGAGGGCGCCTGAAAAATGCGTGCTGACACGTAGTTTCTTGTACTAGACGAGGCAAAAGCAAAGGCATAATTAGTTGGAAAAAAAATAACGAGCTGGTGAGCCAAAATCATGAAACAAACTTGAAAGTTATTGACAAACAAAGACTTCAGTTCATAGTTTGCAGACCTTTATCCTGCTGCTCTTCATGGTCAACCTCCAGGGGTCTTTTTTCATCGGTTGATTTTTGCTGGTTTGTTGTTTGATACATGATAAACTTAGAACTTGAAAGTTCTGATTTTGCTTGATATTTTTACTTGCACTCTGGAGTCTAGTGCTCCTTCAACCCTCAACCGTTCTTGCTTTTCAATTCAATGTGGTGAGGACTGAGGAGAAGGTTCCTCCTAATTGTTGCAGTCCACAGCCTTATTTAATTTTTCTGCGTTGACGAGGAGAAGAAGACCAAGACAACTCTCAGCCACTATGAACTTGGACAAGGCCAAAATTTTCTTGCAAATTGGAATCTGTCTCTCCGCTTCTTAACTAACCCCTGATATTATTGTTTACAGTTGAGTCATTGTCCACGACGACGGCCCTCCCTTGCTGTGTTAATAATATACATTTCTAACCTTAATTTATAGGTACACTATTATTATTTTTGTGTCTCTAATTTGGATTGTTAGGTGCACACAGTGAAGCAAGAAAAGAACAAATCATTGACTCAACTTACCTTTAAGTAAACGCTAAAAAATGTTATATATAAAAAATGTTTTATACTGCCGTAAAACTTTTTTCTTCAACAAATATACTGCTGTAAATCAATGTGGGCTATTTAGTCTCTCTAATATAGTGATAATTACTTCTCTTTCTTCCTTTCTTTTTGTTTTTTTTTTTTTTAATTTTCACCCCATTTGAAACAATGGCAACAGGAAGTGGGAATTCAAATTGGGTTTTAGTGAGGATGAGAATCGAAATTAATGAGCCAAAAAAATACTTTTTTCAGCATAGAGCATCGACATATTTGCATTTTTTAGGGCAAATTCCATTTTATCCCCTGTGGTTTAATAATTTTTTTACATAACTCTCTCATGATTTAGATTAAATTGTCAAAGTGACGGAAATAATTATTCATAACGTAGTCAACTAAAATGTCAAAAATACTCTTATGTAAAGTTGAAATTTTTTATTAACTAAGGGAGGTTATGTGTATAATTTGAAAACCACAAGGTGGTTGTATGGTAAAGTATTAAACCATAAGAGGGATTATATGGTAGAATATAAAAATCATACGGGTCGAGTGTGTTATATATTTATAAGGGTAATTTCGACATTTTTAAAGTTCCGTTATGAATGAATATTCTGTCACTTTGGCACTCTAATCAAAATTATGAGGGGGTTATGTATAATTTTTGAAACTATAAGAATTAAGTAGAAAAGCACTAAATCATGAGGGGGTAAAGTGAAATTTACCCTTTTTTCAAAGTGGCATGCTATGTACCTCAAAGCACAGTATTTAGGGCATTTTTGCACCAAACTGCTGGTTCCAAGAAACTCAAACTGCTGGTTCCAAGAAAGTGCACAAGCAAGTTATTTACGTAGTAATTGCTCTTGTATTACAATTGTCTACCTTTCACACGAGTCGACTTAGTTGGTGAGGACATTAGTCAGGAGACCGAAATATCCCTGGTCAAGCTCTAGCGAAGCGCCAAGCTGGTGAAAACTGAAAAGGTCTCAAGTGCAGCTGTCGGAGTTTCAATTGCGCTGCTAGCTCCGGTCCCTCTTTTCTCGCATCATTTTCTGATTAGACACTGTAGCCAATGTCTTTATGTGCTGTGAAGTTTCTTATCCCCTGATAGATATTATTGGAGAGGAGGGGTCGACGAACATTCTTGGAATTCAACTTCAAACATCAGACCCCGGCGCTTTTCTAGTCTCCTTCTTCCTGAGGTGAAATTCTTGTCTTCTCAGTTTCTGCTCCAATTCTGCTGCATTTTTGCAACCATCTGTGATACAGCATCTTCACTTGAATTAACCTCTTCTTCTGTATTTTTACCCTATTATATGTGCTAAATGTCTTTTAACCCAAGTGTTTCATCAGTTAGGAATCGCTTCTGGTTTAACCATAGTAGTAGCCAAATTAGCTAGTCTAACTTATCCATCTCAAGAATTGGTGATCTTTTGATTTGAAGCATGATCGTTCATTTATAAAAATGCTTGATTCATGATTTTATACAAGGATAATAATAGTTAACAGGCCGAAGCAGTACTTGATTAGTTACTCTGATTAGCCTCATCGAGCTCCAAACTCTATATATCAAAGCCAAAGTGAAGTACTTGACTCTTAGACTTGATTCAGCCCAGCTCTATCTGTAATCAGTCAATGATAAGTGAAGCGTGTTATTGATTCTGTTGAACTGTAGTCTCCTTGTTTTAGCATAACTTGTGGATCTTCTGCTATAAGTAGAATTGGGTCAAAGTGGGCACCAATGAAATTGTTTGAGAGCTAAATTTGCCAAACAGGAAACCTCTGGCAACTCAGGAAATAAAGGAATAGTGAATCAATATGGTAAAGGGAAAGAGATAATTTAGTCCGTTTTAACAGCCCAAAAAGGAATTAGCTTAGTTCTACCGGCGGGGTTGGGGAGATATAATTAGGAGGCACTTTGCCAAGCCTTGTAGGCTGAACGCCAGACATCAAACTAACAATGCAATTGTTGCCTCTTTGTAGTTAGACATCGGCAAAGAGATGAACTATCCCAACACAAATTTTTTTTTTTTGGTACATTCCTTTCCAACCACAAGTCTGCTCCAAATCTATTCCATCACTGAATGGTAAACTATCTCAAACTTCAATTTGTCTTCACCATATATACTAGGCTAATCATGAAATCCATATGAAGATTGAAGACTCTTATCCTTCTATCATGCTAAAAGAGTAACACATTCATATTTCTTTCTCTTTTGCCTTGAACTAACTACTGAGTTTAGTTAGTCATGGCCTAAGCAATTTCGACCAGTACTTTAAATCCAAGAGTTATTAAGCCAGTGCTCTGTCCTGTCATCACATGCCTTCACTGTCGCCTTTTGGATGTTTGCTAGCTATTGAATCAATGTCTATCAACAACATGCATCTTTTGTTGGTTCCACTGACCGCGGCGTTTTTCTGAAGTAAACATGCAGCTCGGTAGAAGTGCAGATGTCTCCATCACCATTCAAGAAAAGCTGAAATGTGTCATTGCCTCAGAGTTAGGATGCAACATCTTTAGAATACATAGCCAGTTGCGGAAGGTAAATGAGAAAGCTTATGAACCCGAGATCATAGCGATTGGACCATATCATCGTGGAAAACCTGATCTCTCAGGTATGGAGGAGCACAAGTTGGTTTATCTAAAATCATTGCTTGGTGAAAAGATTGAGAAGGTGGCAACATGTGTTGCTGCAGTGAAGCCATTGGAGGAAAAAGCACGAAAGTGCTATGCAGAGCCTATAGCCCTTTCATCAGATGAGTTTGTAGAAATGATGGTGTTAGATGGCTGCTTTATCATACAATTGCTGCTTAAGTTCAAGCAAAAGGATTTGATAGATAAAACTGATCCTGCTTTCAGGTTGGAGTGGATTCTGAACAGTTTACAGCGCGATTTAATGTTATTTGAGAATCAGCTTCCCTTCTTCATTCTTTGTAAATTGTATGAAACAATTGAGCTTCCAGACCAAGAAAGTGGATTGATCGATCTTGCCTTGAACTTTTTTAGTGATCTTTTACCAGGTCACGCGACAGCACGCGAAAATGGAAATCCACAGGACAACATCAAACATTTGCTTGACTTGATACACAAAAATTGGTCTACATCAAAACTCAAGCCTGTTAAAGAAATGACAAGCGGCACAGGAGATATGGCGTTGATCCGCTGTTCCATGGAACTTTCAGAGGCTGGAATCAAGTTAGAGAAAATTGCTCAAGAGGACATATTTGACATAGAATTTGAAAATGGAACTCTGCGAATCCCCACATTAGCCATCGAAGAGAGAACAGAATCTTTCCTCCGGAACCTGGTTGCCTATGAGCAATATTGTGGGGATGATCGAATCAACATTGTGACAGACTATGTGACATTCTTGGGTTGCCTCATCAAGTCTGAAAAGGATGTAACAAAACTCTCCCACCATGGAATCATTCAGAACTTTGTTGGTGAGAGTGAAGTCATCTCTGAAATGTTTAACAAAATGATTGTCTGCATAGTTGGGCCAAGTAGAAATTTCCATTACGCTGAGATATTCAGTAGAGTGAACATCCATTGTGACAGACGTATGAACCGATGGTGGGCTAAGTTAAGGAGAAATTATTGCAACAGTCCTTGGGGAATAATTTCGATTATTGCTGCCTCTCTTCTGCTGCTACTCACTTTGTTGCAGACTATATTTTCGATTTTATCTTGGAAGAAGCAATAGTTTGACAAATTAAGACCATTTGTTAGTTCGTCGAAGGCTATGTAAAAGAACATTTCAGTTCCTGTCCCGTTGCAACTTGCGAGCTTTGGATCAAGGACCATTGATTTTCTACGTTGTATTAGTACATTGCAAGTAACTAATAAGTTTTTGTGTTCAATTAAAAACCTTTCTGGTTTGTGTTGTCATCTTTCATCATGCCATGTTCATTCAAGAGAATCAAATTCAAATCACAAATCATAAATCAAAATTTCAAAAGCAACTTGAATTTTATTTTCCACGCAAATTGTTGGTTGCCTGGGGCTTCAGATCGGTTCTTTTGTCACTTTTAATGAGAAAACAAAGTTACGAGACAATTGTGTGCTTTCATATTCTTGTCCTCTCTTCTTCGGTCACCGCTTTTAGTCCACTTTGAAACTCGCAACTTGTTTGATAAAGTCTGACATTTTTCAAAATTTCTGTGGCCAATGGTTAACCATTTTGTCGAGCAAAAATCCTTTACTACGTGAAAGACCGTTCTTGAGACATATAGCTATTGGTTTGTAATTTCCTTTAAAGCATTGGATCATCAAGGTCCTATGATTCTGAAAGTAGGGCTACACACGAGTCGAATTGTTTGTGAGTCGATCGCGAGCAACTCGAGTCAAAATTTGATTTTATTTCGATCAATATCGAGTTCGAGCTAATCAAATCGAACTCGAGTTCGTACTGGAACTCAAAGAAAAATTGACAGGTGCCGAACCTGTGCAATAATAATAATAAATATAGAACCTATCTACCACTAAAAGCAGTCAATAATTAATCCTAAGTACTGGAGCAGGGACTCTAGGTGTGCAATGGGTTACTTGATTCACCCTGTTCCCGAAGAGTTTGCTTAACCCGATATACCAGAATTAATTAGTTGGCAGAAATTACTGAATAGTAGACAGTGGCAAGTAGGGTCGTCTCCTCAGGGACTGGAGATATCTGTCTCTTTTAAAATCCAATTGATTAGGGGGGATTTCACCGGAATGAAACTAAAAACAATTAAACAATTTTGACTAAAATGAATAAATAACTAGCACAAGTATAGCAGGAATTTAATCAGGAATAAATAAATTCTAGTCAAGGATACAACTACTCAGGCGCAGTTCAATCATCCGATCATTGATGCAAGAGATGTTCACTTAATGTATTAATAGGCTAGTTATAGTCTGACGACCAATTTTTCCTTAAATTATTGATAACCAAGGTACGACCGTTGATTACCCCTAATCAGCAAATACTCCTAGGTACGACCATAGGAAGTAATTTTCCAATTGCATTAATAACTAGAAAAACCTAGCCCTAATCAATAACACGCTACGAGGGTTATTTAAATTAGATCGCATGTTCCCCTAATGTGTAAACACACCAGTTGCCACTAATATTAATCAATCAAACAATTACGGATTTAATTGACTAAATTAGCACGAGATTAATAAATCACATTGAACATCGGGCCCTTGACATCCAATTAATAAAATAATCCCATGAAAATTCAAGCACACAACGTGCAAATATTAATAAATAAAGGAACACGTGAAAACTAATTAGATCTCACAGATTTTCGGGACTGCGCCGTCGAGTTGACCCTTGACTAGATGGAAGGCTTAGCCACGCCGCATAATTAAATCACCACACGAATTAATAAATTGCAAAGGCATTGCGTTTTCTATTAGGAAGCAAGGAATAAAAGGTGTTTTTCCCGTTGGGGAATATTGTCGAACACCTGGCGTGTGTCAGAGGCCAGTCAGGAGAAGAAAAGAAAAACTAAAGACTAGGCTAAAAACTAAACTAAAAGATAAACTAAAACTAGAGATGTCTTCCTTCCTACGTTATCCCTATTTAAGAGACAAAAGAAAGATAGACTAAAGCTATCTAGGTGGTCCCCACACATGTGGACAAAGCCTCCAAAGTACTTCTTCTCCCAAGTCTCTTTTCCGTAGCTTTCTTTGAAAAGCCCAAATGACTTATAGCTTTGTGGTCCCCACCAATCCAAGGGCCCAAGGATTGAAGCCCTTAGAAGTCTCCATATTCTCCATAAAGTCCCTCCTTTTTGGCAGTTTTCTGCTTCATTCCTGAAATTAAGTCCAGATACCAAATATGAGTAAATATCAGCAATTAACACAATATTTATCAGGGATAAAAGGGGAAATAAATAATAAAATTACTAACAAATTATACCCTATCAATTCTCCCCACACCTGAATCATGCTTGCCCTCAAGCATAATTATCTCAGAAGTACAATCAGGATACGAAGTAATTCACAGCAGTTCATACCAAAAACGGCACTCCAAATTCCCCAATAACTTCATCGAAATCAAAATATATCAAATCAACAATGCTCACAGTTCAAAGTGCACTCATTCACTCCAAAGTGTATTTGAAATGTATATAAGGTGGCTCTCAAATCAACGCAATAGAATGACACTACCATAAGTTTGCTCATATATCATATCTCCACCACTTACTCATGAATTTAAATGCAGCAATCAAGGGACTTTGCAAGGTTGTAATGGGGCTCGGGTGAGAGGGTAGGATAAAAAGGAGTCAAAAGGGTGTAAAAGTATAAAGAGAGTGCTCAGAAATTCATTACACAAATTCTTGCACATTGGGAACTTCAAGGCATCTCAACCATTACACAAGTGAAGTAAATTAGCACTTGCCGCAACCTTCGACTTTTCTTTTCTCCTCTTTTTTTTTCTATATTTTTCTTCTCTTTTTTTCCTTTTCTTTTTTTTCTACAACTCCCAACCAGCACCATAAGAATCAACTTTACTCGATGCTTTCTTACATTTTGCCTTCTTTCCACCTTTTTTTTTTTTTTTTTAATAGGCAATGCCTCTCAGATACTATTCCAAAATTTTGTATAATGAAATCAAAGCACTTCTTCACACGAGGTTCAGAAAGAAAGTCTAAAAAGAGGTTTCACGGCTAAAAGCTGGGGTCTCAAGCAAAGAATAGGGGTTAAGGCTCAACTTGGCTCCCTAATGGTAGTAAACAATCCAAGGGTCGGTTTTAAGAAAGTCCAAAGATGGCTCATTCCTAGGTGCCCTATCATTTCAACGCATTAAACTCATATAAATGCAGCCTTGACATGCATAACCGAGCAAGTTCTAGAATGACAAACCATGTGCAATAACCACTCACAAACGAAAAATTAGGCCCAAAAACCGCACAAGTGGTCAAATTCATGCCAAATTCAGCATATTCATCAATCAATTCATCATCGAGGAAAATAGAGCACCCAATGGTATGAACTTACACTACTCGTACTCATATCTCAATTGCATTCATCACAGTTTAGAGAAAGGAGCTACTAAGGCAAGGAAAAATTTACTCAGACAACTAGAAACACAGCTAAAGCGTAATTAACCCTCCCCCACACCTGAACCTTACATTGCCCTCAATGTAAGCAAAGAAATACCAAATCAGAGTTATCGGGGCAACGACACTTCCCTTAAAACGGAGGAGGGCAGTAATGAATCACGGCTGCGGAGGGAAAGGCGGGCGGAAGCCCACGTGATGGAGATACTGCGCTAAATTCTGGGCCATCCCGCCCATCTGACGCTCCACCCGATCCATACGAGTGTCCAGGTTCTTGCCTTTAGTTTTTGGTTTGGTCATTGGATATCAGGAAAGATGGCAAAGACAAGGTAAAACTGGGTAAAATGGAGCGGTAGCTAGTCAACAGAGCAAGGGGTCCCCAAACACAGCTCCAGACACCAACAATTGCACAAATAGAAACTAAACAACCCAGAAATCAATTAAGTTGATGAATAATAAAATCTTCACCCAAAAACCAATTAAACATGGAAACAACAAAAATTTCCCCAATTACTTCAGATTCTACCCCAAAATTGGACAAATAGTCGTCAACCAACCACGGATGATATCACAGCACTCAAATCAACCACAAAAATGTCTGGCCTCAGCTAAGAAATTAAAATCTGGCATCAGCTAATAAAAGCTAGTAATCTGGCCTCAGCTACTTAGTGACAGAAAATTAAAGAAAGAATTCACCGGAGGTTTGGAGTAGGCAGTGGATGACAGTGAAGAGAGCAGGGGCGGCCAACGAAGTGGAGAGAAGGCGCGTGACGGCCACGCGCCCTGGGGATGGCGGCTGTTGGCGAGGCGCGCGGATGGATCGCGCCTAGGCTGAGCTCCCGCGCGCGGGCTGGGGCTGGTGCTGGCGGCGAGCCTTGGGGATGCTGGTGGAGCGGAGGCTGGTGAGGTGGGTGAGCGGCGGACAGAGGCGACTGTCACACGAGGGAGCGCGGCACCTGTGTCGCGCCTGTGGGCCATCGACGGCGGTACGAGGTGCTCGGCCGTCGGCTGCCATGAGCTGCGGGTGGCGGCAGGTCGCGCGGCGGCTGCTGCGAACTTCGCGCGAGATGGCGGCGGGCACAGAGGAGCTGATGCGCGATGGGCGAGGGCGCGCGGCCGTTGAGCAGATCCGATGGCGGAGAGAGCTGGTGGCGGTCGCGCGGTCCGGTCGAGGAAGATGGTGGCGCGCGGTGGAGGTGGAGATGCGGCGCGAGTGGGCGGCGGCCAAGGGGATTCGGGCAACAGGGAGGGAGCAGAGGAGGAAGAAGGAAGAAGAAGAAAGAAAGAAAAAGAAAGAAAAGAAGGAAAAAGAAAGAAAAGAAGAAAAAAAAAAAGAAAATTTTTTTTTTTTTTTTTGTGTAAACAAAGAACTCCTGTCTTAGGCGTGGTCACGTCTAACTGCTATAGAGTCCTCAGAACCTGCACGAAAATTTCTTCCCCTCGGGCGTGACCACCTGGCGTGGGCACGTCTAACTGCCATGGAGTCCGCAGATCCTGAACGAAAATTTCTTTCCCTCAGGCGTGACCACCTGGCGTGGGCACGTCTAACTGCCATGGAGTCCGCAGATCATGAACGAAAATTTCTTTCCCTCAGGCGTGACCACCTGCCGTGGGCACGTCTAACTGCCAATTTCCTATCACCAACCATCAACCTATTAATTGACATTAACACTTAACTAAAACTTCAAAAATGTATAAAAACTGAAACAAATAGTCTTGGGTTGCCTCCCAAGTAGCGCCTTTCTTTAATGTCTTTGGCTAGACATTGAACACCACTCTTCAATCTGGGTGTAACTCAATTTTCCTGGAAATCGGTGGCCCTCCCCCAGGATCCAAATAGCCTTTGAGTGCAGCCTTCTTTCTTAATTTTCTACTCCTTTTCACCTCATACAGTGCTTTCATCCCCTTATACTTGTTCTCAGTAAGTTTGAATTTATCCCTACAAGCAAACTCAGAAAATTCTTGCACAGAGGGATTAATAGCATGAATAGCAAACACAGGGTGAGAGTTAACAGGATGTTTCATTGTATCGAAAATATTAAAGTGGACTAGTTCTCCATCAAATTCCATGGACAATGTACCCTTATTAACGTCAATTTTTGTCTGTGCTGTGCTCAAAAAGGGTCTACCTAGTAGCAAAGGTGAGGGGTCAGGGGAATGATCATCATCCATGTCAAGTACATAAAAGTCAGCCGGGAATATCAATTTATTAACTTTAACCAGCACATCCTCGACCAACCCATCAGGGTATGCATTTGTTCGGTCAGCTAATTGAATTATTATCTCGGTTTCTTTTAATGGACCGAGATTCAGAGAAGCATACATAGATTTTGGCATTACGTTGATCGATGCTCCTAAATCCAGCAAGGTATTTCTAATCAGAGTATTACCTATCTTGCATGGGACAGTAAACCTACCTGGATCCCCACACTTTGGTGGTAGCTTTCTTTGGAGAACTGCTGACACATTCTCCCCAACAATAACTCTTTCATCTCCCCTCAGCCTCCTTCGATTGACACATAGGTCCCTCAGAAATTTTGCATACTTCGGCACTTGCTTGATGGCGTCTAGTAGGGGGATATTGATTTCTACCTTGCGAAACACCTCCAGGATCTCTTTCTCCTTGTCCTGCTTCTTCGATTTTTTCAACCTGCAAGGAAATGGAGGGGGATTAGTTTTAACTGTAATTACTGGGTCTGGAAGTACCTTTAGATCTGCACCATTGCTGTCCTCCCTCTCAAGTTCATTTTCGATCTTTTCCTCATCCTTATCCTTAGGGATCATAGGTTCAGGCCCCTGAATTTCCTTCACGCTCCTTAAAGTCATTGCGCTTACGTTCTTCAGGTTCAGTTCAGGTTGGGATGGCAATCTTCCATTTACTTGGGACTCCAAACGGTTGATTGTTGTGGCCATTTTACTTATCTGACTCCTTATATCCTGCATTTCGGAGTCCGTCCTTTGCTGATTTTGCATAATGGTTGCCTCCGTCCTTTGCTGATTTTACGCCATGGTTGTCATCATTTGTTTCATCATCTCCTCCAAAGATGGACCAGAGCTTGGGGGCGGAGGTGGTCGGGGTTGGTATTGTTGCTGGTACCCTGGTGGCTTATTTGGCACAAAGTTAGACTGCCTGTTCGGTGTAAAGTTGGGTTGCCTATTCCCTCCATAACTGAGGTTGGGATGATCTCTCCACCCGGGGTTGTAGGTGCTTGAGTAAGGGTCGTACTGCTTCCTTGGCGCGGGCGCGTGATCAGCCATGTTCACATGTTCTGCAGTTTCTTCCTGAATCATTGGGCACATATCTGCAGAGTGACCTATACCAGTGCAAATCCCGCATACCCTGGCTTGTGATGCATTTCTCACAGCCTGTTGCCTAACAAACGCGGTCAACTCAGTTAGCTGCTGCTGCATGGAGGGTGTCTCTACCTCATTCACCCTGCGTATTGGAACATCCTCTCTCGTACCGAATTGTTGTGAATTCTCTGCCATCCCCTCTATTAACTCCCGTGCTTCCTGAGGGGTTTTGTTCACCAGTGCCCCTCCACTTGCAGCATCAATTATGCTCATGTCTCTAAAAAGGAGCCCCTCATAAAAATACTATATGAGCAACTGCTCACTTATTTGGTGTTGGGGGCACATTCTGCACAACTTCTTGAACCGTTCCCAATACTCATAGAGTGACTCCCCTGGGTGCTGCTTGATCCCGCAAATTTCTTTCCTTAGACTCGCAGCCCTGGATACAGGAAAATATTTATCTAAAAATTTTTTCTTTAATTGGTCCCACGTGGTGATGCTACCTGGTGACAGGTAGTACAGCCAATCCTTCGCAGAATCTTTCAAGGAGAAGGGAAATGCCCTCATTTTTATCTGCTCTTCTGTAATGTCCGGGGGCTTCATACTGTTGCACACGACATCAAACTCCTGCAGATGCTTATACGGCTCCTCACCTGGTAAACCATGAAAAGAGGGTAAAAGAGAAATCAGGCCAGATTTTAACTCAAATGAAGTGTTTTCACTCAAACTCGGGAAAGTAATGCACAAAGGCTGCTGATTTAAATTAGGGGCAGCCAACTCCCTTAATGCTTGTGCATTAGCCATGGGGATTTCTTCTTGCTCCGAGTCACTCGAAGTGTTACCAAATGAATCTGTTGGTTCAACTCCTGACTCAGGTCTCTGAGATGTAGCACTGGAGTGCTTCTCTCTGAGCTGTCTGGTTTCCTTTCTCGTTCTACGCGCGGTCTTCTCTACTTCAGAGTCAAAAATCAAATCACCTGTACGAGAAGACCGAGGCATACACTAGAAAAATACCAGAAAATTAGAACAAAAATGAATTTAAAAAGAAACAAATTATAACGCCAGTCCCCGGCAACGGCGCCAAAAATTGACAGGTGCCGAACCTGTGCAATAATAATAATAAATATAGAACCTATCTACCACTAAAAGCAGTCAATAATTAATCCTAAGTACTGGAGCAGGGACTCTAGGTGTGCAATGGGTTACTTGATTCACCCTGTTCCCGAAGAGTTTGCTTAACCCGATATACCAGAATTAATTAGTTGGCAGAAATTACTGAATAGTAGACAGTGGCAAGTAGGGTCGTCTCCTCAGGGACTGGAGATATCTGTCTCTTTTAAAATCCAATTGATTAGGGGGGATTTCACCGGAATGAAACTAAAAACAATTAAACAATTTTGACTAAAATGAATAAATAACTAGCACAAGTATAGCAGGAATTTAATCAGGAATAAATAAATTCTAGTCAAGGATACAACTACTCAGGCGCAGTTCAATCATCCGATCATTGATGCAAGAGATGTTCACTTAATGTATTAATAGGCTAGTTATAGTCTGACGACCAATTTTTCCTTAAATTATTGATAACCAAGGTACGACCGTTGATTACCCCTAATCAGCAAATACTCCTAGGTACGACCATAGGAAGTAATTTTCCAATTGCATTAATAACTAGAAAAACCTAGCCCTAATCAATAACACGCTACGAGGGTTATTTAAATTAGATCGCATGTTCCCCTAATGTGTAAACACACCAGTTGCCACTAATATTAATCAATCAAACAATTACGGATTTAATTGACTAAATTAGCACGAGATTAATAAATCACATTGAACATCGGGCCCTTGACATCCAATTAATAAAATAATCCCATGAAAATTCAAGCACACAACGTGCAAATATTAATAAATAAAGGAACACGTGAAAACTAATTAGATCTCACAGATTTTCGGGACTGCGCCGTCGAGTTGACCCTTGACTAGATGGAAGGCTTAGCCACGCCGCATAATTAAATCACCACACGAATTAATAAATTGCAAAGGCATTGCGTTTTCTATTAGGAAGTAAGGAATAAAAGGTGTTTTTCCCGTTGGGGAATATTGTCGAACACCTGGCGTGTGTCAGAGGCCAGTCAGGAGAAGAAAAGAAAAACTAAAGACTAGGCTAAAAACTAAACTAAAAGATAAACTAAAACTAGAGATGTCTTCCTTCCTACGTTATCCCTATTTAAGAGACAAAAGAAAGATAGACTAAAGCTATCTAGGTGGTCCCCACACATGTGGACAAAGCCTCCAAAGTACTTCTTCTCCCAAGTCTCTTTTCCATAGCTTTCTTTGAAAAGCCCAAATGACTTATAGCTTTGTGGTCCCCACCAATCCAAGGGCCCAAGGATTGAAGCCCTTAGAAGTCTCCATATTCTCCATAAAGTCCCTCCTTTTTGGTAGTTTTCTGCTTCATTCCTGAAATTAAGTCCAGATACCAAATATGAGTAAATATCAGCAATTAACACAATATTTATCAGGGATAAAAGGGGAAATAAATAATAAAATTACTAACAAATTATACCCTATCAGAACTCAAAGATACTTAGTTTATATATATATAATTTGAGTAAATTTTATATACACTGATAATATATACACTATCATCGTTGGATTCATGACATGTGTGCAAAAGTTGAATTTCAAATTCAAATTTTGCACAATTGTCATTCATTCAATGCTATAGTATATACATTGTTAGTATAGAAAAGATTAATCCATATAATTTTTATTTAATAGTGAAATTATATATATAACCTAAATTTTATTATTTGTTAAGAAAAATTACTATTTTATTCTTTTTTAAAAATAAAATAATTATTTTTTATTTTTTAAACTCGAGTTCGAACTCAAATTTTACATTGAAAGCTCATCGAACTCAAACGAGAGCTCAAGTTTTAAATTTGGTAAAATTGAATTGAAACTCGACTCAATTAAGTCAAAATTTGATTTGACTCAACTTGGTTGCATTCTTATTTGAAAGGTGCACGAGTTTTTAGGAGGTATCATTTTGGTATTAGAATTTCCTGAAAATGCAATCTTTAAATTTACTTCAAATACTTTCCACTTTAACCCTTTTTTTTTTTTTACTATTATAAGTGTAAATGAGTCTAATCAAATCGAACATCCTAATATTCAAGTTTAATTATTTTAATGAGTTTGAAATTTTCAAATTTAATTTATTTATTTGTTGAATCAAACTTAAACGAATCTTTTATTGAATTTGAAATTTATCGAGCTCTTCAATGACTTGTTGGCGAACCAAATTAGAATGAACTCTCGTCAAATCAAATTGAGTATGATTCTTGTATTGAGTTTTTGATTATTTTTCAACCCTATTTACTATCCTTTGTCATCTTGGGGAGCAAAAAAACTATAAATTTATTCCTTTCTTGGTGATCCAATAACCCGTTTTATCCTCCTCTGGCTTTTCTTTTCCTTTCTTTTCTGACTCCAATCCAAGGGCCCAAATTCACTCGCATCCGATCAACGGTCAAATTTCATCCTCCACCTTTCCCAGAAGTGGTATCATCTCCCAAAGCATCTTCTCAGTCGATATTCCTCTCAGATTCCCCCCAGTCCCGGGTGCCCGTGTTTCGCTTTTCCCAACAATCCATCCCGGCCCCCTCTTTCCCTCTCCTTCTTTCGCTTTCTCGCACCTTGATCGGAGACGGAAACTATGGAGAGTAAACCCCAGAAGCCAATTCCCATGAATGACCCCCCGACGGACCGCCCTGTTCGTGTTTACGCAGATGGAATTTATGATCTCTTCCACTTCGGCCACGCTCGCTCCCTTGAACAAGCTAAAAAATCGTAATGATTTCTTATTTTTCTAATCTATTTGCTTTTAAATTTGAGAATTTTTTTTTGGAGCGGGTGACTTAGTTCTTCTTTATTTTTTAATTTTTTTGGGTGATCTTTGGGCAGTATGGGATGTGGTTTGGGTTATTTTGGTAGCTTGTCATCTCAAGCGTTTTGATAAAATGTGTCTATGAGATTTGGTTGATTTAAAGTTAGAATTGATAGTGCAATGTTGGCCTGCTTTCTTATGTAGGGGAATATTGGTAGTGGGGATTGTATTTTCTTCCTATGAGGTTGATCCGTGTAATACGATGCCCATATGATTCTAGAATTGTGGAAAAGGATGATAAAGAAACCATCTTGAAGGAGGCAGCGTTGGAGCTGATTTCATACCATGTACATGTGCCGTTGTTTGCCTTGAAAAAGCGTGGATTAGTAAGATATTGACCACAATTAGAGCGTTAAGGAACTTAAAATTAGAGTTGTTAGGATCAGCCGTGGTATTGGGACAGACTGCTTTTTGTTCATGTAAAGCTTATGAAAACCAGGGTAGCATTCTAGTTATTCTATCTATCATTTTCTTCCTGAATGTTGTATATATTCTCGAATATTTGACTGCAATATTTCCTTGGCAGTGTTATAATTATGTTGAATTGTGGATATCATGATTAATTGCCTTTTTTGTCACTCCTTTTGGTAATTGTGATTATGATTGATTATTTTCTATCCAGGTTTCCCAACACCTATCTACTTGTAGGATGTTGCAATGATGAAGTCACCCACAAATATAAGGGTAAAACAGTTATGACTGATGCGGAGCGATATGAATCTCTCCGGCATTGCAGGTTGATGTGAAGTAATTTCTGTTATTTAAGCTCTCTATATGAATGGTGGTTTGATTCATTATGTAAATCCTAATAGACGAGGAAGTGGTTTGATTCATTAATTAAATACTAATAGATGAGCAAAGGGGATGTTGAACGAGGAGCCAGTGCATTTTCTTTTGAGGCTAGTTTTACATCTCCTTTTATCTAGGCATTTATTTATGCATTAGGTACTTTTCTCTTGTGTAGCTATTTTCTTCAGATGACTTATGGACTTTTGAAGCAGTGAATATTACCACCTCAAGGATAAATACTTCAATTAAACTTTAGTATAGTCTTCCTTCCTTCCTTTTATTTTTTAAACATTTTTTAATTCTTTTACTTTTTATACATTGGAAGGTAAAGGGTATGCAAAAAGACAAGAACTTGAGTGCTGTTATTTGTTTCTTTCATTAGAACTTCATTTGCAATTGCCTCTTGCTTGTTTTGTTTGCTGCATCCTCTTTATGCTCGAGGATACGGTTGCAACTATGAAAAATTTTGTTCTGCTTTGTTGTCCAGACAAACTTCTAGGTCTTTCGACTTCCTCAGAACAGACAGCCAAAGAAGTCAAATGAGTGAGAAAGAGATAGAGTACCTTGATATGCACCAGTTCTTATAGGAGAGAGTAGACCTCTGATTAAGTTCAAGCAGTCATTTTTTATTTATGATGGGGTAGCAGAACGATATTCTTTCCTTTGACCATCCAGCATTGTTGGGATAACACTTTTATTCTGCATTGTGAACAGAAGCTTCCCTTACTAAGAAAGAAGGAAGCATCTGTTCCCACGTTAGTTTCACCATTGTCCCCTTCAAATTCTATTTTTGAAGTATCAGATTTATTTGCTGGAAGTCACAGCTTCAAAGGGGTTGACCACTGAGATTTTTTCAAATAGGGCTTTAGTTGGGAACCTTATCAAATGTGTGTCTTGGAGCTTTTGCCTTGTAGCTAAAGTTATAGAGATAGAGAATTCTTGGTGCTTTAGTAAGCTAGATTGATAGTTAAAATCAAAATTTCTGTTATATCCTGTTGTCCTGTACTGTTGCATTTTCAGTGCAAGCTTGTGTTTATTTGTCTATTCTTTCTAACTTCTTGTTCCTTATAGGTGGGTTGATGAAGTTATTCCAGATGCCCCTTGGGTGACTACACAGGAATTCCTTGATAAACATCAGATCGACTTTGTGGCACATGACTCTCTTCCGTAAGGTTTACAAACCCAAGAACTGTTTATTATGCTTGCCTCTATTGGCCTTTTGGCGTAGATGAAGTCTTCTTCAAACCTTCAAAGTGTAGGTTGTATAAAATCTGTTAAACATGGTTACAGGATAACCATGATATATAAAGACCCAGCATGGTTTCTGTGAAACTAAAAAGGATGTACATTTGTGAAATAATGTGGCTAGACTATAAGGCACATAGTTCATGTCCTCTGCTGCTACCTCTTGAACCAAGTATGAAAAAAAAAAAGAAAGGAAAAAGATAAGAACTTAGAAAATCTCTGCAGTACCATACTTTTTTGCTTGGTTTCTTTTTCTTGTATACTTGTATGTTGATATTCTCTCTTAATGTCAGTTATGCTGATGCAAGTGGGGCTGCCAATGATGTCTATGAATTTGTAAGTGCAAATTGTCATTACCATGCAGGCTAGTGCTTTTAATTATTGTGGCTGCTATTATTGCTTCTATCTTTATTACTTTGTTCTCTTGTTTGATTAATACCTATTTGGCTGCTATATGTTTGGTTTCTGTTACTTTTCTAGACAATTTGTTTGCCTGCTCGTTGTTTCTCTTCTAACTTATCCTCTAATTGGCTTTTTCCTTTCAAGCTGCTTAACTGCTATGTCAGTCTTAAATCCTCTCGTGCTGCCTAGATGACTGTTTTGATATGAAAATCATATGTCAAAATCTTATTTTAGGTTAAGGCTGCTGGAAAGTTTAAAGAGACAAAGCGAACAGAAGGAATCTCAACATCAGATCTTATAATGAGGATAGTGAAAGATTATAACGAATATGTGATGCGGAACTTGGACCGGGGTTACTCAAGAAAGGAACTGGGTGTGAGCTATGTCAAGGTAGAGTTACACGTCTTGGCTGATTAGTTGAACGTCTACAATGTCCATTACCATCTCTCTCGTTGGGATGCGTATTGAGTGCTTTCTCATTTTAATTGAAGGAAAAAAGATTGAGGGTGAATAGGGGGTTAAGAAAGTTGCAGGAGAAAGTGAAGAAGCAACAAGAGAAAGTGGAAGAGAAGGTATGCAAGTCTTGTTGCCATATTGATGTTATCTTTAACATATAGTGTAATGTAGTGAAGATGAATCATGATATGTTGTATCTGGCCATAATAACCATTCTATTTCATCAGAATAAGAAAATAGTAGCCTAACATATTCATTGGTTGCAAATTTGCAATTTTATGTTTTAATGATCTATATGAATTTGGAAGTGCAATTTCAGTCGGTTATATTTTTGTTCACTTTGGAGCTCAAATAAATTAGGCGCTGCAAATTTGGACTTGTGACATTTAACTTCTACAGTGTGGAACCATGAGAAGGGAGATTGGAATTTTGCTATGTGATAGTGGCCCTCCGAATTATGAACTAATGTTCTAGAATTTGTTTAAAAAAACTTTCTACACTAGTGAATCATCAGAAGAGGGAAAAGAAGATGACGAAAATGAATTTGTGCCAGGCCATTGACTTTCAAAGAAAGTATGAAGATGTCTGCATAACAGAAAAGTACTGTTGTGGATTTTGCTGATAAAAATTAAGCTGGCATATGATAGTTTTAATGGAACAGCAGATCATATAATGGTAGAACTGCCTCTAATGTCTTTGGAGTGTTAACAGGAACCTTTTGGTGAGCTCTAGGCAAAGAGAGCAAGCCCTCTGGTAATATTGACAGTTTGGCAGCATTATAATGCCAAGAAAATACACTGTAATTGGTGAATCTAAGTCTACATCAGTAAGATCTTCATTGAGGAGTTATATGCTTGGATTTCTCACATGGCGTGTGATTCCCTTGCATAATTTTTTTCCTCTCAATAAATTAAGTAATATTGAACATTGCCCATGCTTGATACAATTGACAAGCTTGAGTTATATCACGGACTTAAATTTATTGGTAGTCAATATCTGTTTTGAAACACTACAGTTTTTCAAATTAATCTGTCATTTTTTAGTTCAAACCATGATTACTAGGAATTTTTGTGATCAACTGTCAATTCTTTGTTGTGTTGCGCAGCATTACTGAGCTTTGTAAGTTTTGTGTTTCTGAGGAGGCTCCATCTCCATGTGGAATGCTTTCAGCTTTTTCCTGTACAACGAGTGTTCCCCCCCCCCCCCCCCAAAACACCAAACTCTTTTTCCAGCTATATTTGAATTACTGTAATTCTTTTCTCTGTGAATCTTCAGATGCAAACAGTGGCAAAACATCGTAACATATGGGTGGACAATGCTGATCGATTGGTTGCTGGGTTTCTTGAGATGTTTGAAGAAGGTTGCCATAGAATGGTAATTATGTCATTGTCATTTTTTGTATCATGAAGATCTAAGAAAAAATTTGTTGATAGAGTACAATTTTTAAGCTTGTGCCCTCTGTATAGGAAGTGTGTGGTAGGAAAGGGTAGACAGGACTTAATAACATGCTACACTTTTGATTACTGAAATAAGTGTCAGATTTGCTTCTGGGATTAGACTTTATTTGGACATTTCTCCAGGGAACTGCCATCAGAGACCGGATTCAAGAACAAATAAGGACAAAGAATATACGGGGACTGATATACGATAAAGAAGATGAAGATGACTACGAGGAGGATGATGGGTATTATTACGATGGCAGTACGGATGATGAATACTATGATGATGAGGGTGAGGAATGACCTCCTCATCATCCGATGTTTAGTTCGAAAAGGTGGCTGTCATATTCAGCTGCAACACATGGAGTGTGGTCTGGATCAAGACTTATAAGTGTTTTTCTGCTTGCCTGTTTCAAAAAATGTCTACCCCACATGCATCAGTTTTGATGTGTCCTTGTGCATCAGAAAGTGCTGTTTGTATTTTTTGGGCTTCATTTAGGTATGTTTTGGAAAGTGTTCTTTGTAATTTGTAGAAAATAGCGCTGATTATTATTCTTAACAGAACTCTTAGAAACTTAAAAAGTGTAAAACAGTTTTGGAAATTATAGATATTTAACGTGGATGTTTGCTTGTTTCTACAAATGCTTTATTTAGTTGCCAGCCCCCCGTCCTCCCCCGGTTTTTGTACTTCTTGGTATGCATGGATTGGAATTTTTATTGCGACAGAGTAACCGAAGGATTGAACTATTGCATGTTCTTCATATTAACCTATTGGAGATTGATTGGTATGTCCAATTCGATGAATTCTATCAGCTGCAAATAATTTTCTCCTGTTGCTCTTTTGCTTCGGATTTAGCTAGGATTGGTTGATGGTTAATTTTTGGGGTAAAAAAAAAACATGACATGATCCTTAATAGGAAGTTGTAAGGCTATAAAAATTGTAAACTACCCGTTTAAACTATTACCTCAGTTAAAAGGTGGCTGTATTCTTGGTTAATTGATGTATTACTAAAACCGTTTATAGGCTGAGCACTCAATAGATGGAAATGGTATTTCATCTAAACATGAAACTTTTAGTTGCACAATCTGGCCGCCAACATTTCACGATAGAGAATTAATCTGCAGTTCTGCAAGAAACACTGAAATTAATATCTGAAACCAGAATTTCAATTTGCTAAATGCGGTTAAGAGTTTCGCTACATATATTCTCGAGCATGAAAACCAGCTTAAAGCAAAATGAAATCAATTTTTCTAAAGATCTCAAACAAAAATCTAGCAGATTACTTTAAAGCCAACCAAAATCTGCATGATCAGAATTTCGGTTTTCTTTAAGAGGTAAGAATTACAGTAGATATAATCTAGAGGACCAACAAAACCAACTTAAGCAAATTGAATTCACGTTTCCAAAGATATCAAGCACTAATTGATAGTTGAGTATCCAGATTGAGCAAAACATTCCATTGCATGGAGGTTGAATTAAGAAACACATCATCTCACAAATGAATCGAGAGAAGAATAAGTTACTGAAATTTGTTTATCTTACAAGTTCGGGGAGTAATACAACAGAATCCACAATCATACTCTTATCATCTCAAATATGAACTACTAATAAGCACTTTGATGTCCCCAGTTGCTTCCCTGATTCTTTTTGCAGACTCTTCCGCAGATTGTCTGCACCAGTGCACTTCAATCAATTCCAGTGTGCCTATGTCTGCAAAATCATACGGGATTTCCTTGAGGTCTTTGCAATTTTGCAAGACAAGCCGTTCAAGTTTGGGAAGGTGATCACAAGTAGCATTCCATTGAGAAACGTTCAGATTGTCTAACTTCAAGAATTTGAGTTCCTTGAACTGATCTTCCTCCATGTCCCATGTCAGCCCCTCAAAGGCATCAAGAAGTAATTTGAGAACTTCCAGGTTGGGTAGTCTCCCAATTGTTGAGATATGACTCCATGGTAGACGAAACTTTGAAAGAGTCAATTTCCTCAGATTGGAAGGGAGAATGAATTCCCTGGTAATAGCGCTTCCATAGTAAGATACATTGAGTGACACCAAATGAGTTAGAAAATCTAATCCTGGAAACTGATAGGAATTCTTCGAAGAACCCTGTGGATGAAAGAATATGCATCTCAGTTTCTGGAGATTTGGCAACCTCTTTATTATTGATTCTGTATCTTCACCACAAGAGAGAGAGAGACAGGAAAGGCTGACCAAATCACCCAACTTACAGCAGACTTCAAGCCCTTCATCATCCAATGTGAAAGCAACATGCATATTCACATGAAGATGCCTCAACCTTGTCATGTGCCAAATAGTATCTGGTAAGACAACCTGACCACGTAATCCCTTCAAAACAAAAGTTTCTAGTTTTCGGAGATTGCCTATGGATTGTGGAATAGTTTGCATATAACCAGTGATTGCCAAATACCTCAAATGAACCAGGCATGTAATGTCAGCAGGGAAGGTGACACCCAGGTTGATGCATTCAAAATCTAACACCCGCAGAAGTTTGAAGTTGTGCCAAATGAATGAGATGTCATAAGGACATCTGGGCTCTGAATCAGCTGAAGGAAAGAATATCAAAGAACGAGTACCCAGGCCAAAAGGTCTTGATTTAAAAAAATGGAGTCGCTTCAAAAAAAAGCACAATCGGTAGGCTTCATATGTGACAGGATCAGAATGATGGCCAATTTCAAAACCAAAATCTGAACTAGGAAAAGATACATATGGCTCATCAAACCTGGTTACTAGCCGGAAGAAGTTCTCTGCTCTGGCTTTTAACTGACAAAAATCACGCAACAGATCATGCAAGCGACATGATTTGACCATTCCGTTGGATCTTCTTTTGGAGACTTCCACCAGGCTTCTGCTAATCAACTCCATCAAGTAACCCTCGGCAATACCTTCTAAGCTCTTCAACTCAGAGTCATGAATGAAACCTTCAGCAAGCCAAAACCGTATCAACTTGCTAACAGGAATATCCTTGTCTTCAAGGAAAACTCCCAAATAAAGAAAGCACGGTTTTAGATATCCCGGCAAGTGTTTGTAACTCAATTCAAAGATTTCCATGCACCGAGCTTTTGGATCTTCTATAACTTCAGCAATCAAGCCTTTTGCAATTTTCCCCCATGATGCTCTGCTCTTTTCTATCTTTTGGAGGAGACCAGATATTGCAACAACAGCAAGAGGCAATCCTTTACACTTTTTGGCAATTTCCTTTCCAACAAGCAACAATTCTTCGGGACAACCTTCACCATGGAATACTTTCTCTACTAATAAGTTCCAGCTTTCATCATCAGAAAATAAGCGTAGAGAATGAGGATCACTATCTGGTTCAATTTGCAAGGCCACATCACGAAGGCGGCTGGTAATCAAAATTCTGCTTCCATTGGCATCATCTGGGAATGCATTTCTTAACTCATTCCAAACTCCAGCATCCCACACGTCATCCATAACAATGAGAAACCTGTTTCTCAGTAAGCACTGACGCAATTTTAATTGGAGATCTTCGTTAGTCATTTGACGAATTTCATCCGTAAGCCCGAGAATGCCACGTAAAATCTCCAGCAGCAGGTCTCTTTTGTCATATCCTTGTGAAACAGTACACCATGCACGACAATGAAAGTGAGACAAAACCTTTTGGCAGTTAAACAGTTTCCAAGCCATTGTTGTCTTGCCAATACCGGGCATTCCCACAAGAGAAACAATACCAAACTTTGAGGATCCCTTGACAAGTTGATCAGTTATAGATTGTTCTTCATCTCTGGGATCCACCACCATTCCATTGATTGCTGGTGTAGCATCCCGTGATATCACGTTGGGTGGAACCTGGATGACGTGTTTGTTATCTAGGACTTTGGCTTGAGGGGTCGTCAACTGAATTCTAGAGGCTCGCTTATTAACAATTCTTAACTCCTCTAGTAGATCATAAACCAAAAAGAAACCTTGCCATTGAGGATCGACCTCAATTGAGTCAATGACAAACTCAATTTTGTAAGCAATATTGGCAACATGACCACCAAGAACTTTCACTTCTGGATTGTTATCAATATCCGACTCTGAGACTTTCATGAGAAAAGAACCCAAAGACTTGAAATGTAGATGAATTTCTTTTATGTAATTCCTGACTGGTTCAATTGACGCAGGATCATAGTTCAGCAGTTCCTCCAGGCTTCCGATGAGAAATTCAACGAACCCTGGCTTGTCAGTCTTTGGAAAATCAGACAATGGAAATGGGGGACTAACCACTCTGAGCGTAGACTTGATAGGATTCAGCTTATCTTGCAGTCTAGAAGATGAGATGATCATATTGTGGATGGGTCCTGCCATCCCTGCATCAGAAGTTTCAGTTTGTGGGAAGATCGTGTCCATGTCCTTTGTCTCCTCCTTTAGCTGGTTGCAGAGAAGTGTGAAAAGATTAAGGAGCACAAGAAGTGCAATTTGATCTTTTCGATAAGCCTCGGAATTTGCAGCACTACTCCTCTCCAGTTGTAACTTCTCAAATAATGCTTCTGCTTTGAAAACAACAATGTTAAGAAGCAATAGGAGAATTGAGTTTCTCACCGTGGATTCTGTGATCTTCTTGGCCTCAAACAACTGATGGAGAGATGCTACCTTGTAGTCCACTTGTTTAATGAGAGCCAATGCCTTATTCCCATATTCTGCCTCCCAATGCGTAAGATTTTCCAGAAAACGTATCAATTTTTTAGGCATCCATTGGACATCACCTTTAACATGATTGAGCAGATCTTTAGTTCGGAAAGTGCTCCCTTGATTGTTACAGAAAAGCATTCCCTTGAGGAAAAGCTCCGTCTGAAGAAGAAAAACATTTATACGTAGCTCAGAATGGCCATGGATATGTTGCTCGCCCTTTCGTTCCGTCTGTAAGAGGAATTCCAGCTCTATGAGCACCGTATGAATTTCTGCAAGGAAAATTTGTATAGTCTGATCCTCTTCCTCCCCCTCCTCCTGTTGCTTCAGTTTGGTGAAGGCTAAAAGCTTTAACAGCCCATAGATCTCTCGAGAACAGATCTCTCGAGTATCTCTGATCCTCACTTCAGTGGCAACATAATTGCTATAATGAGAGGAAAAATCGGGCTTAACTCCTCCAATTTTATGGAGAGCCACAAGGAAATGAAAATGGAACTCCATGAATTTGGGATTAGTAGGATGAATCTCATGTTGCAAATCCACTACAGATTTAGTTAGCTTAATCATTTCTACCGTTTTGGTTTTGCCTTCGGTTTTCCCGCAGTGAATCCGGTACTTAAGACTGTGGATTGCAATGCGCACCATCACAGATGCAACACGAGTCACGAAATCATTGATAGCATTTACATCATCACCACCTGCAGCAGCTGCTGCTGGGAAGTCGAGATTCCTGGATACACCTTCCATGTATTCCCCGAACAATCTTAGCTCTTTGCGCCAGGCACCGATTGGCTCGCTCCATTTTGTATCGTCCACAATATCGGCCAGAGTGGTTACAAATTGTAGCCAAAAAGAAACATCAGATGGTGATTGCAGTCGACACGACGACCACCCGGATAAATCCAAAAGGTGTTCAACATCTTCTCCAATCTCTTCCATCCATTTGATGGATTTACTGTAATAATCATAGAGAGTTTTGCCATTTACCG